TATAAATAAACCGTTTCCAATGTGACGATGTTGTAAGACTAATATGTGTCCTCAGGTAGAGAATAATTATTATCTTCAGTGAACAAGAAAACCACCTAAAATTATAACAAATTCAAGCAAATCCTCTTGATTACAAAATACAGAATACAATTCAGATGCAGCTGTATATGGCTGCAAAATGATATGTTATGCGGGGCTGAGAATAGCAGCGGGGATTTTTCATCTTGGGCCGAATGCACCATGGAGGCACGCTCTGGGCCACGGACGCTGCCTCGCCAGCCTGCTGCAGGAACTGAGCTGGAAGATATTTAATCCTGAACTATAATAGAATTCAGTGCTCATTATTCAGGAGCAGGCGCGGGTTCTGGCCCATGGTAATTATTAAAATCATGTTTATGCCAAGTAATGCAATGAACATCACCTACTTTTGACCCGCTGTGCACAGAAGGTGGGGGAGGCAGTGTTTTACATCTTATCAATTGGATTTAGGTTGTGTTGCGCTGTGGCGGGGGCGTGAGGTCTGACTGTGGTGATTGGGGACTTGGAGGCGCAGGAATGGTTGCTGGATGGCCCACCCCGCTCGGAGCCAAGGGACCAGCTGCCCGACTTTCTGCGTGGGATACATGGGGAGGCAGGGGCTTAGCAGGGGCACCTCTTGGTGACAGGATGAGGCCCGGACTTCCTGGCCTGTGTCCACCACCTGTTCTGCCGGGCCCATCTTGCGTTTGGTCTGTAGTGATAAACATGTCTGGTTCCCAATTTTACATGATAAAGGGTGCGGTTCTGGGGTGGAGGCACGGGGGGCTCAGCAGAGGCCATTGACACGTGTCTAGCCTACAGGAGAAGGAAAGCATGCCAGCTGCCAGCGGGACAGCCCACCACCTCCCTCTGGTCTACGGACATGGGGATGGTCCACATTGCCACCAGGAAGGACCCAAATGTCCCTGGCTCTTGCCCCTTCTGCTCTCTCAGAGCTCCTGTTCTCTCACATCTTATCTAGCTGCTTCTGGGGGTACTCACGGGGTGGCCCACCCTCAAGAGGACCAGCCACAGCATCCTGTGTTTTAAATGTTGAGAACTGTGCTACACAGCCCATCTCTGGGTCTGCCGGAGTGGTGGCCCTGCGGTCTCAGGCTGCCTGGCCTGGGCTCAGCTGTGTGCTTTGCACATGCAGGGAGGGGGCATGTGTGCTTCTGTCCTCATTGCACTTGACGCTTTGGCCTCGCCACCCTCCTCCGGCCGCCACTAGTGAGAGTTACCCCATGTAGCCCTCTCCCTGCCATGAGTCTCAAGGCAGCACCGCCCACCCGAGGGAGGGTCCTGCTCTGGAGGTCACAGGCAGGACAGTGAATTAGTTCCCGAGAGCACCCAGCCCTTCCTGCTTCTTCCGTTGTGCTCGCTGACATCTGTATCTGAAAAGTTAGCCTGGCCTGGACTCCAGTCTTCCTGGGCTCCCGGGAGGCCCCTCTCTCCTCAGTCCCTGCTCTGCCCTGCCCTGAGGCACAGGCCGTCACCACAGGACGCAGATGCAGGGGCTACACATGCCATCTCCCATGCCTCCTCTGGGGCTCATCCGCTCACACCCAAGGGTGGCCCGTTGGAGGGCTCTGTGTGCACGGACCAGGGGCCGGACCCCAGGCAGCCCAGGAGAAGGTGAGGTCTGAACCTTCTCAGTGCCCTGGGGTTTGGGTAACAGCTGGAATCTTCCCTCAGAATGGAGAGGATTCTCCAGGCCCTGGAAGGCAGCGCTTGGTGCTGTGAGCAGGTTGTTCTCATTACTTGAGGCAATGGCGTATCTTGATAAATGCAAATAGATTTATTTTTTTTTTCCAGCAGAAAGTCTGTTATTCCAAATTTCTTAAACTTTGTTCACTGTTCTGTTTCAGTTCCTCTGTCAATGCCTTTGCAGGAAGAGTTTGACTGCTGTGGGTAATCCACGGGCTGATGAAGGCAGCAGATTGAGGGCTGCGTGGTAGAGGGAGAAAATTTGTACCATTGACTTGCTGGGAAGCAAAAGACAGGATTTGGATTTGAAGATATAATTAAAATGTAGATTGAGAGCGCTTTCTCAACTTACAATGCTGAAGATAAGATTCAGCAGAGACCGTGCCCTGGAAACAGGCAGAGATCGCAGCTCCTGCCGCCGTGTCCCCATGCTGCTCAGGCGGGTGCTGGAAGCCAGGAGCCAGGAGAACAGAGAACAGGAGGCAGTGCTTGCTGCTGACCCTAATGCCACCCCTAATGCCACCTCATTGGTACTCATCAAAGCCACATCAGAATCACGGTCTGCGGGCCCAGTCTCATCCAGTTCCCGAAGAACAATCGTTAACCTTTGGGCACTGGACTTAACCACTGCCTCTACCACTCACAGGCACCACCTGTGGCTCCCATCTGTGAGAAGGGGTGACAGGCAGGGGCCCATGGGACCACTCCCAGTGTGATCGAAGTGGCAAATCCTAGGGCAGCCTCGGCTTCTGATGCCACCACTTCCTCCTCTCAGCCTTGGCAGTGGTCCTGACAAGCAAACTCTGCCCCCAGGATGGCGGTGGGCACCCACGAGAAGCTGCTAAGAGACTATTCTCAAAGAACGCCAGGTCCTCGATGGACACCCCAAGGGGATGGAGGTCGTGATAGACAGACTCCAGGATGCAGCTCTGGGCATGGCTGCTGGGTCTTCCTCGGCCACCCGCATCACAGAAACGATGCTGCGAAGGGGATATGAGGAAAGGGGAGGATGCCGTCAGCCACCACTGCTTTTATTTTATTTTATTTTTACACTGAAAGTTTCCTGTGAAAGAGACAATCCACTTAAGAATAAACTTCAGGGCCAGGTGTGGTGGGGTGACTTACACCTGTAATCCCAGCACTTTAGGAGACCGAGGTGGGTGGATCACCTGAGGTCAGGTGATCTCAGGCTGTGGTCTTTTGTCATTATTGCTGGAGCCGACTCACGCTCCAGCTGAGATGTGGTTTCATCATCCTGGAAGTGGCCTGCCTTGAATAGATGGCGAGCAGCCTGGGTAGGCTAAATACAGGTCCAGGACCCAGTATTCCTGTGCCAACAGCAGGTGCTCACGAGAAAGCCTGCTGGCCAGCACTCTGTGAGTGCCCCTTACTCAGCCTCCTGCCCAATGTGCTGGGTGTGTCTCACTGCTGAGGGCCTTTAGCCCTTCTCTCTCCCCTCCCATACCTGCTTCTGAGGCCCAGGAGACCCTGTTAGCTGTTCCCACTAAGCAGGCACTCAGGGGCGAGTTGATCTGAAGTCTATTCTTTTGTCTTTGTTTTTTTGAGACAGAATTTCACTCTTGTTGCCCAGGCTGGAGTGCAATGGCCCGATCCTGGCTCACTGCAACCTCTGTCTCCTGGGTTCAAGTGACTCTCCTGCCTCAGTCTCCCAAGTAGCTGGGACTACAGGAATGTGCCAGCATGCCCAGATAATTTTTTGCATTTAGTATACACGGGGTTTTACCATGTTGGTCAGGCTGGTCTCGAACTCCTGACCTCAGGTGATCCACCCACCTCAGCCTCCCAAAGTTTGGATTACAGGTGTGAGCCACCACACCCAGCCGTGAAGTTTATTCTTAAGTGGATTCTCTCTTTCACAGGAAACTTTCAGTGGAAAAAAATAAAAGAAAACACACAAAAATGCTAACTATAGAAATCAGATTTAAAAAAGAACTAATATACCAGAGCTCGTTGCTAATCAGTAAAAAGTGCAAAAATAGATAAATATATATTCCGTCAGAAATTTACAATTAATTACCATTTTAGTATCATTGAAGTTGTCAACGAATTTGATGACTATTCTCGATTATGGACTTGACAAATTACCCCCCTTCTCAAAAGCCCCACTGACATTTCTAATTGCTGATCTAAGGATCTGCTTCCCAGAATAGACAGAGAAGACAGAAATAAGTGTGGCGGTGAATGAAATTTCATCACACAATCTTGAGCAGATCGTCACAGGCAGCAGCAGGCAGGGGTGCTGGTCAGCCTGGCCACCCCCCTCCAGCCACCCAGGCCTCTCCCCTCGCAACGCTGTCCTTGCAGCACCCCCACCCCGGAAGGGAGCGCCGCACTGTGGAGGTGGTGGGGAGGGCAGCGAGCGTGGTTTCCTGAGCACACCGGGCACTTCTTGCTCCTCCTTTGCACTCACGGACTTCTGCGCACGGAAAGTGGCTGGCCCAGGCAAGCTCCCCAGGCGGGAGAACCTTCTCAGCCTTGAACTTCTGGCTTCCAGGTGCCAGCTGCCTCCAGCCCCGGGGAGAGAGTGCTCCCTCGTCCTCCCTTCTGGGCCCATTCCCAGAAAATCCTCCGCACCTGAGGAGGTCAGTCTCTGCCGTGTCTGGGAAGAGTCTGGCTTCCCCCATGCGTCCGAGCTCCAGGCCAGGTGGCCCCTGTGCGGACCCTGCCTGCCACGGCCTTCTGAGAGCAGAGCCGTTGGCCTCACCTGCACTCTGAAAGGCCACCTGAGGCCCAGAGGGACACAGCTAGTGAACAGCAGAGCCACACACAGAAGCGCGTCCTGCACAGCTGCTGCCTCTGTGGCTGACTGAGCTCACTACCAGGGTGTGGGCAGCACCCTGGGTTCGAACAGCACTAACCAGGCCGGGGCAAGGCATGCTGGGAAGGAAGGAAGGTTGTTGTCAAACTGGGGGCAAATCCTGGTGCCAAGGGAGGTGTGGCTGTCGGCTGTGGGGCAGAGCATCATGGGAGGTGTGGCTGTCGGCTGTGGGGCAGAGCATCATGGGAGGGCAGGCTGTTGTTGGCTGTGGGGCAGAGCATCATGGGAGGGCAGGCTGTTGTTGGCTGTGGGGCAGAGCATCATGGGAGGGCAGGCTGTTGTCGGCTGTGGGGCAGAGCATCATGGGAGGTGTGGCTGTCGGCTGTGGGGCAGAGCATCATGGGAGGGCAGGCTGTTGTTGGCTGTGGGGCAGAGCATCATGGGAGGGCAGGCTGTTGTCGGCTGTGGGGCAGAGCATCATGGGAGGGCAGGCTGTTGTTGGCTGTGGGGCAGAGCATCATGGGAGGGCAGGCTGTTGTCGGCTGTGGGGCAGAGCATCATGGGAGGGCAGGCTGTTGTTGGCTGTGGGGCAGAGCATCATGGGAGGGCAGGCTGTTGTTGGCTGTTGGGCAGAACATCATGGGAAGGAAGGCTGTTGTCAGAGTGTAGAGCAGAGGATCAAGGGAAGGAAGGCTGTGGTCAGACTGTAGAGCAGAGCATCATGGGAAGGAAGACTGTTGTCAGAGTGTAGAGCAGAGGATCAAGGGAAGGAAGGCTGTGGTCAGACTGTAGAGCAGAGCATCATGGGAAGGAAGACTGTTGTCAGAGTGTAGAGCAGAGGATCATGGGAAGGAAGGCTGTGGTCAGACTGTAGAGCAGAGCATCATGGGAAGGAAGACTGTTGTCAGAGTGTAGAGCAGAGGATCATGGGAAGGAAGGCTGTGGTCAGGCTGTAGAGCAGAGTACTGTGGGAAGGTAGGCTGCTGCCAGGCTGTAGAGCAGGACATCATGGGAAGGAAGGCGGCTGTGGTCAGGCTGTAGAGCAGAGCATCATGGGAAGGCAGGCTGTGGTCAGGCTGTAGAGCAGAGCATCATGGGAAGGCAGGCTGTGGTCAGGCTGTAGAGCAGAGCATCATGGGAAAGCAGGCTGTTGTCAGGCTGTAGAGCAGAGCATCATGGGAAGGCAGGCTGTGGTCAGGCTGTAGAGCAGAGCATCATGGGAAGGCAGGCTGTGGTCAGGCTGTAGAGCAGAGCATCATGGGAAGGCAGGCTGTGGTCAGGCTGTAGAGCAGAGCATCATGGGAAGGCAGGCTGTGGTCAGGCTGTAGAGCAGAGCATCATGGGAAAGCAGGCTGTTGTCAGGCTGTAGAGCAGAGCATCATGGGAAGGCAGGCTGTGGTCAGGCTGTAGAGCAGAGCATCATGGGAAGGCAGGCTGTGGTCAGGCTGTAGAGCAGAGCATCATGGGAAGGCAGGCTGTGGTCAGGCTGTAGAGCAGAGCATCATGGGAAGGCAGGCTGTGGTCAGGCTGTAGAGCAGAGCATCATGGGAAAGCAGGCTGTTGTCAGGCTGTAGAGCAGAGCATCATGGGAAGGCAGGCTGTGGTCAGGCTGTAGAGCAGAGCATCATGGGAAAGCAGGCTGTTGTCAGGCTGTAGGGCAAAACACAGTTGTCTGGGCTGCATGGTGTCTGCAGAAGAGCTGGAAATGGAGGGTGCCAATACATGGGTGTTTGTTTGCTGACCCTGGAGTTTGGGGTTAGAAAGGAAGCCGGCTGCCTGTTCCAAATCTTGACTGAAATGTCCATGACCTGATCATCTTTAAAAGTGAATTTTCTTTATCACTTGGGCCGTCTGAGACGCTGGGAGTCCTGTGGGATTCCGTGGCCAGCCCAGCACTGACTCCGCTGCTGTCTTCCTGACCATCTTGGGTGAGTGATCCAATCTCTGTAGATACGGGCTTTCCGTACCCTGCAGAATGAGGGCCGGACACCTAATTCAGCCCCGGATTATTCAGTGAATCTGTGGATTTGTCCATATCCGTTTCTTTACGTGGCCATGAAGCACTTCCTGCGTACCTCATATCCATCTGAATTCCTGTTCAATGGTGCTGAGATTAGGGAACATGTTGACTTTCTCTGCGTCCATATTCAGTGGTCCAGTGGGTTATTCAGCTAAAGACAATCCCTGAACATCTGAAAGCAAGGCTCGCGGATGTGCAGGCGCACAGAACACGCAGAGGGAAGCTGCTAGGTTAGCACTGATGAGGGGCGGGCCTCCGTTCGTACGGTCTCACGACATCCCACAGGCGACCCTGTATGGGCCTCGTGACCCCACTCTTTCAGTGAGGAAATAGAGGTGTAGAGAAGTTAAGTGATTCTTGGAGCGGTGAGTGTGGGGGCCGGTTCCAGCCAGGGCCGAGAAAGTCCTGCCCTCACGAGGTTTCCCGATGTGTGTGTAGCAGCCACTCTGTATCTGACATGAAAGCTCTGCCGTAGGAGCCTTGGCAGAGATCTCTAGCCACAAAGACCTCACCATCTCGATGGCTGGTGAGAGCAGGGTGGACAGGGCCAAGCCGAGGAAGAAATGCCTGGGACTACGTGTTGATTCTCCCCGTCCTCTGGGCTCGCGGTGCAGGCATGTTGCTCCCCTAAGGGGGCTGAAGACCTACTGTGCTCCAGGGACAGGCCTAGCTGTGTCGAGGTCTTCTACAGCCCCTCTATCAGGTAGGACAACATGGGACACAGAGACAGGGACTCAGGGCCCCTTGTTCTGCGCCTCCTGGTGCCTCAGCTGGCTCAGCAGTGGGCTCCACAGAGAAGCACTGAGCTCACGGCTGCTGATGACAGAATCGCAGACTTGAGACCACTCCTCACCAGAGTAAGAAGGAACAGGTGCACCCGGAGACAGAGACACAACAGCGTCTGATCTTTTATGACTCAGTCTGGGTCAGCTCTTTCATTAAAAATTAGAATTCCTGCTTCATCATTTTTGTGGCTCTGACTCACATGTGATGAGAGATTTCCATGATCACCCATAAATTTCAATGCTTATTTAAGGCGAAAAAAATTAGTTGTGGGAATTTATGATGAACGGTGTAAATTTTTAGGAGCCAGGATGGAGCTGTCAGGCATAGGAGGTCTCCATCCCTGGCAGGGGAGGGAGGCACTGGGAGAAGCAGGGCCCCTCAGTGGGCCTCACCTCCCTACCTGCCGCTCCTGCAGCCAGGGGCACCCCCACCTCTCTAAGGCCGCTGGTCAGCACACGCCAGCCTGGGCACGCTTGGCAGGGAGGAGCAAAGGACTCTGGATCCTCATACTTCAAACAGAAAGTGTCCAGGTGGAGTGTTCCACAAGGCAGGGAAGTCAGGAAGACAGGCGTCTGCATCTTCTAAAAGTATTGTTGGCCAATGTCTCGTGGGAGGGTAGAGTCGGGGGAGGTGGGGAAGAAACGTTCTCCCCGAGCTTTGCTTTCCATGAGGGGTCCATAGACATTGCGCTGTTGAGCCTCGGTACTAGCTTTTTGCCAGGACTACGGTGGGGTGCCTGCCTGGGCAGAGGGGAAGCTGGGCAAGTGTGACCACAGCCACCATGGGAGCTGCTGCCTACAGGCCGGGACTCATCCTCGGCAGCTCCCCCTTGCCACTGTTGAGAAGCCCTGGTATATATCCTAGAAACACTCTCAAACGCAAGCCCAAAGGCAAGCTAAAGATGCTCACGGAATTATGTTTTTAAAAGTAAAATATTGGAAGACTATCTAAATTTCCTCCAAAAGGAGAAGAGGGAAGGAAGGAAGGAAGGAAGGAAGGAAGGAAGGAAGGAAGGAGGGAGGGAGGGAGGGAGGGAGGGAGGGAGGGAGGGACGGAGGGAGGGAGGGAGAGAGGGAGGGAAGGAAGGATAGAAGGAAGGAAGGATGGAAGGAAGGAAGGAAGGAAGGAAGGAGGGAGGGAGGGAGGGAGGGAGGGAGGGAGGGAGGGAAGGAAAGATAGAAGGAAGGAAGGATGGAAGGAAGAAAGGAAAGAGGGAGGGAGGGAGGGAAGGAAGGAAGGATAGAAGGAAGGAAGGAAGGAAGGAAGGAAGGAAGGAAGGAAGGAAGGAAGGAGGGAGGGAGGGAGGGAGGGAGGGAGGGAGGGAAGGAAGGAAGGAAGGAGGGAGGGAAGGAGGGAAGGAAGGAAAAAAGGAGGGAGGGAGAGAGGGAAGGAGGGAGAGAGGGAAGGGAGATGGCATGAGGGGTTCTGTCTCTGCCCTCAAGGGGCTCCCTGCCTGACCAAGCGGGATGGGCATTCCTGGCTCTCTTCACTCTGCTATTCTCCTTCCCTCGGGGGTCTCCGGAGGCCTCTGCATGGACCTGACCCCGACAACCCCTCCGCTGCCACACTGGGTAGCAGTGGCTGTTGGTAGCACAGGCCTTATTTAAACTTTTCTGTGTAAATAACCCATAGTCATAAAAAAGAAAATTGCATTTGCTTTGAGTGGGCAGAAGATACATTGAAGTCAGAATGAGGAATATTCTCCAAGCGTGGCTTCAGCCGGTGAATCCAACACTGTACTGCTTGTTTTCCAGGGTCTCGACAGCGCTGTTTGTCCTTGCATACCAATGCAACAAATTATATTATTTAATGAAAAATGGGCCAGCCCCAGCTTCTGAGGCAAAGTCGCCCTGTATCAGGGACATTATCGTTAATGCATGAGAACCCATGGAGCTGATGGAGATTTGAGCAACGGTGATGTGGGCTTAGAAACGTGAGCGTGTTTCCAGCCTGCCTGGCCCTGTGGAGGACATGGGCTCCCCAGAGAAGGTGGAGCCACGTTCCTGTCGTGGGTGGTTTCGGTCCTTGTGTAAAGCAAAGTGCAGGGAAATCCACACACAGGACGAGGGCGAAACAGAAAGCAGATGCCCAAGGGAGCTAGTGCATTCCCGGAAGTGATCTCCAGAAGGTGCACAGGTGTGAGAGTCGCCTGAAGGATGTGTTAAGAACCATACGGCCAGGCGCGGTGGCTCACGCCTAGAATCCCAGCACTTTGGGAGGCCACGGTGGGCGGATCAGCTTAGGTCCAGAGTTCAAGACCAGCCTGGCCAACATGGTGAAACCCTGTCTCTACTAAAAATACACAAAATTAGCCAAGTGTGGTGGCGGGCGCCTATAATCCCAGCTGTTTGGGAGGCTGAGGCACAGAATCGCTTGAACCCAGGAGGCAGAGGTTGCTGTGAGCTGAGGTGGTGCCACTGTACTCCAGCCTGGACGACAGAGCACGACTCCATCTCCAAAATAAATAAATAAATAATAAAATACTCATACTTATCTGCCAGTAATACCACATCTAGGAATTTATCTTGAGGACATAATCTGAGATGCACTCAGATGTTTTAGGAGGTGTTAACCCATCAATACTTACCAGGAGATAATGGCTGTTGGCCTAACGCCCTCCGGCTTATCTCGCCTCGTAATCCTGTCTTATCTTCTTGTAATAGGCCTGGGACAAAAGAGTAACGTGCGGACTTATTTGTCCACTCACGTATCCGTCCCCTCCCTGTGGGACTGATGCTCCCGAAGAGAGGCTGGGCTTGTCCCCCATCTACCGTCCCCTCACTTTGGCTACCTCGTAAGTCTATGGAGGAAAACAGTCAATTCTCATCAGATGAAGAAGCGCCGTTAATCAGCATCATCTGTACTCTCCACAGCCTCAAGCCGCTGTTAGCACGATGTCTCTGAAGAATTCCAAGTGCGAATGTTCAGAAGATGATCTTGAGGAAAACCGGAGAGCACAGAGCTGCGCAGGCTTCCACAATCACAGTTGTGGAACACACACCCCTCACATGCCAGCCACACAACGTGGGGTCTGTCACCTCCCGGTTCTGTCCACCTAGCTGGTGCGGACCTGGCAGGGCCATCCCCTGTGACGCCCGCCAGAACCCAGGCTCCGGGCGACTGCGTTTGCCCAGGTTGGGTAAGCGCTGGATGTAGCTTTGTCTGAAGAAGGTGGAGACATCACCTGCCCGGGGGTCTGACTGTCCCAGGCAAATCTTGGCACGACAGCCCAGGACCCAGGAGGAGAGCCGGGACCTGTGGTTGCTGCAGCCGGAATCCACTCCTGTGTTTGTGATAAATGAACCCTGCATTGGAGCCGGGTCAGACCTCAAGGAGCTCCCCAGCAGGGGTGCCTCTCCAACCAGGGGTGTGCCTGCCCGTTCCTGGCCACTCTGCTGTTCCTGGCTGCTTGGGCAGCACAGAGGCCTTGAGGAGCATGGTCCCCTTCCCTGCTGTCCCCTCCCCCTCTCTTTCCCCAGGCACTGGATGTCAGGCTTGGACCAAGCCATTTTCTCCCAGTTCTCATATGCTTTGAGTCTTTTATTTTATTTGGGGGTAAAATTAGATTAGAAGAAAGTTCCCTCTGCGTGACGGTCTCTTCTGAAAGAAAAGGCAAATCACAGGATTCCCAGGAGGCGGTGTCTCCTTCACGTGAGAGAAATACAATTCGTGCAAATGTTTCCTCCCCAAGCCGGGACCTGCGTTCAGAGGGAGACGGGCCCTTCATTCATTCATTGAGGGTTTCTTCGGTGCCTACCCGACGGTTTTCTGGGCTCCCGAGGATAAACTAGTGTGTGTGTGCACACATGAAGGAATGCATGTGACTACAGGTATGCATATGTGAGTGTGCACACACGCGTGTGTGTAAATGTACATACACGTGTGTTTGTGTGTGTGATGCTTTGTGCGTGAAAACGAAGGGGTTCAGATAATTTGGGGAAAAGACAGAGACTTGATGCTTTTGGAAACCATGACCCGGAGAAGGGAAACTAATGGTAAAAGCCTTTTAAAAACATTTTCAGCAAGAGAGAGATAAAGCGCCACATGCTTACTTGTTAAAGTTAGGAAACTATACAAATATTACAGATAGAATGAGAATACAGTGGTGCCTCATGCCTGCGATCCCGGCACTTCGGGAGGCCGAGGCAGATGGATCACCTGAGGTTGGGAGTTCAAGACCAGCCTGGCCAACATAGCGAAATCCCGTCTCAACTAAAAATACACACATTAGCCAGGTGTGGAGGTGGGTGCCAGTAATTCCAGCTACCCGGGAGCCTGAGGCAGCAGAACCTGGGAGCCGGGTGTTGTAGTAAGCCGAGATTGCACCGCGGCACTCCAGCTGGGTGACAGAGCGGGGCTCAGCCTCAGAAGAAAAGGCGAAATGAAAAGTTCATACGCAAACGCCCAAATAAATGAGCAGAAGACCCTCAGCTCTGAATATGGCTGGGCTTGTGTCTGCAGCATGGCCTGGCTCTGAGCTGCCTGTGAGAACCTTATGAATCAAGGGAGTTGCCTGTAGCACGTGGTCTGGGACTCCGTTCAGGCCTGGGCCCTGGCTGGCCCCTCCAGCACCCTGTGGCCAGCTGTCGGAAGAGCCCAGCACAGGGCCCCCTCCCACCAGTGCTGGCCAGAGCTGCAGGGAGAGAGCAGAATCAGGCCTCGGCTGCTGCGAGCATCCTGGGGAAGGGGCTCTGGGCAGAACCCTTTAAGCTTCAGGAATCAGAGAGAGACTCACACCCTCACACCAGCTCCAGCGTATGAGGAGGAGTTGAGAAAGGCACCAGGGCTGTGGGGTGCACCTGCCGGGTTCCCTTCTTCAGCAGCCCTTTCCCACTCTCACTGGCTCCAGTGAATGAGGTGGGTTGAGAAAGGCACCAGGGCTGTGGGGTGCACCTGCCGGGTTTTTCTCTGCAGTTCTTTCCAGGGACCTGCCCTGCCTACCCCTGTCCTGTGGCTGCGAGGACTTGGAGGTTTCTCTGCATCTTGAATTGGGAGGCAGACACTGAGACCAGCTGCGGATGGGGTGTCCCCGAGGGATCCGTCCTGCCTCTAGGGCTCTAGCCCCCATTCCATTCCTGAGGTCCAAATCTCTGCTGGCCTTTGGCCTCCCGATGCACTTTGAAATCCACAGACTCTGGTCCAGCTTCCTCTGCTACAGAGTCTTCCTGGACCTCCAGCCTGGGGTCTCTGCCACGCTGAATTACAGATGAACTCACCGCCACCTGGTCCAACCCAGGGCCCCGGCTTCCCGCCCCTCTCGGCTCCATGGGTTCCCGCCCTCTGTCCCTCTCCAGCTCTGCCTCCTGGTCCGGGAGGCTGACCCGGCCCCATCACGCTCTGCCGCCCTCTCTGCGGTCTCGGCCGAGCCCCCTTCCCACGGTGGGTGTCGGGTTTGGGCTCTCAGGCCTCCTCACGGCTGCCATCACGACGGATGTTATTTTTGCTGAGTGCATCTGCAGAACACATCTGTTAATTTTCCGTATTTGTTTATCCACAGTAAAAATCTGAGTTAGTAGCTGTTTCACACTGAAGCTCACAAATAAACAGGAAAGAGGCAACCCGGCAGTCATCTTCAAGGCAAATGAGCCCCGACGTGACCAGGCAGGCGGGCCGCCCGGAGGGGTCCTGGAAAGGCAGGTGGAAGGAGGTGGGCTCAGGAGGAGGGTCCTCAGACAGCAGCACTGGAGGAGCCGTGGGGCTGGGGGACTCGTGGAAGCCCTGGTCCCATCCCATGACTGCCTGGCCTCACCGAAGAACAGGAGATCCCCAGAGACACAGCAGCCAACCTGGACTCAGCCCAGCCACGCTCCCAGCCAGAGTTCTCCCCAGCGGCCAGTCTTCCTTTTCCTGCCATTGGGTCCCTCTCAGCCTATCGGGGGACAATCGTGACCCTCATAACCAAGAGAGGCATGCTGCCTCAGAGCCTTCAGATTCCTGAGGACAGAGATGCTCCATTCTCTCTGTTTCCGGCACCCAGGAGGGCCTCTGTGCAGTCTCATGATGAGAAGGGCGGAGTCCCACAAAGCACCCTCTCCTTACAGTTCAGACGAGCGTCAGTGTCTCAGTTAACCAACACCTTAGTCCTGAAAGATGGGCGTCATCTCCCTCATTTTACAGATGGGGAAACTGAGGCTGGGGAAGAAAAGAGGGGTGTGTGTGCAGGAGTCAGACTCAGCCCAGAGGAGACAGGGACAGAGGGACACAAGGCTGGAAGACAGGGCTGGGCTGGGGATGGGGAGGCTGCCTTAGATCGGGGGATATGGCTCCACGTGATGCTTGCCAGGGTTTGGGGCATTCTTGGTGTTAGGAGTTGGGGCAGGGGTGCTGCTGCGTGACTGGCAGGTGGGCACCCTCCACACAGTGGGTGGAGGCAGGAGCGAACTGAGCATCGGAACGCCCACAATGGTAGTGGCCCAGCCGCAAACATCAGAAGTGTCAAGATGAGAAACCCTCCATGCCCTGGCAGGAGGGCACGCAGCGTCAGGAGGGGGTGCCGCCTGGAGGAGGCTGTCACCAGCCCCAACTGACAAGGCCCCTCCCAGGCTGCGCACTGCAGCTGAGCAGATAAAGGATCTTGAATCTTCAGCTTAATCAGAAGCAGCCTTGTCATTCTGAGAGTCAAGGGGACTGGGTATTTTTTTCCCCCTTTATTTTTCTTTTCTTAACTTCAGATGAACATAATTGAAGGAAGCCGTCGCCCTTCTCTCTGGATAGAGACAAGCCCTTGAGGCTGGCGGGGACGGGGTGCAGAGCACAGCTGAGTTCTGGTCCTTCAGTGGTAGTGGGGGAGGAAAGGGGGCTGGTGAGGGCTCTACGGTGGGCAGAAGGCTGAGGACAGATGCTGACCCCTGCCCTCCAAGAAGGAAAAAGGCCCAGAGTCATTTAACTCAAGCTGCCTGTCCCCCTGCAGGACAAGCACCCTCTGCCCCACTTACCCCACACCCAGCACAGAACCTCTGGGTGTGAAGCTGTTTCGTGCTCACGGCAGCCTGCAGAGCACTCTGATGGGACCCTTCCCATCTCCCACCCCTCACATCACAGCTGCAGGCCCATCTGTCTCTCCTCCCGGGAGGGGCCAGGACCACGGCCACTTGGTTCCCCACCCACCCCGCCTAGTTTGGCCGATGCAATTACCAGACCCGAAGGAGAGCCCTGAGTCTTACAGTGCCTGGCTGGGTGCATCGAGGCCCAGGGAGGCCCCGCACCCAGCTCCAACACCAGCCTGGTCTCTGTGCTTGGGGCAGTAGAGAAGTTCCTTCAAGTTTCCTTTCTTGCTAAATCACAGGTGTGCTAATAACTCTGTGAAGCCCTATCCTCTGCAGCTGTGAGACACGCCGTGCTTACAGACACGTAGTACATTCTGTGTCCTTGTACTTTAACCAAGATGTCTGTGCTGGACGTGCTCACAGGCGTGTCCCAGCTCTCCACTGCTTTTACCTGCTTAGAAAAGTTTTAAGTTGTTAACTAATCGGGATTTAGTTTAGATTGTGAGGTCTGGCTCCAGCCAGCGGAGATCAGGCACAGCAGTAAGGACGACCCCGGATGCCTAAGGAATACATTTGTGTGTTTTTCTTTGTTCTTTGTACTCTCATGCTAAGATGGCTGGCGAGGGTCACCTTCCTGCAGCCCAGGAAGTAAAAATTTCATTGCTGAAAGATCCTTTGTCTCAGTGCTGATTGTTCTTTTTGGCACGGAGAATCTATTCCCAACAGCGGGGCTGACTGCCTCTGAGAGAGAACACGGGCCAGGCCTCCCCCCGGTGTGCAGATGGCCACTTTCTCCCCGTCTTCACCCTCCAGGTTCATGCTCATCTGTGTCCAGATGAGGGGCCCATCTCCGCCCCCTCCCTGCTCATCTGTGTCCAAATCAGCTCTTCCTATGGGACACCTCCCTCCTGGAGCAGGGCCCTCCCTAATCACTCATCTTAACAGCCTCTTCAGTGACCCTCCCTCCACCTCAGGTCTCAGCAGGTACTGGGGGCTCCTCCCTCCAATGCGTGACTGCTGGGGGACATTTGGGGGTGGAGCCAAAGAGTGGGGCCCAGGAAGCAGGCCAGGAAGTCCTGAGAATGAACAGCGTTTGGAGGACGAGGGAGCAGACCACAGGCCAGGCACTGGCGGCCGGGGAGAAATGACCTGAGGAGGGAGGTAGGTGGGGGCCCTGGCAGGTTCATGGCGGCTGAGCACAACAGGATGGGGAGGTACCGAGGGCCGGCGGGTGCCTGAGAGTCCTGGCAGAGAGAGGCCCAAGGAGGATGGGCAGGGAGACTAAGCAGCTCTGCTCCCCACGGCCTGGCCTGGCCTGGGCCTGGGAGTCACCGCTCCGCCGGGGAAGCGTTTCCTGAGAGCCACTGTGGAGACCTGCTCTGGTGATGACGCCACCAGGGCTCCGAACTGAGTTGTTCAAACTCGCACTATGTGTGTGTGTGTGAATAGCAGTCATTGAATTACCAGATCGTAATATTATATCTGGCCCCTGCAGAGACCCTATTATCCATTACATAAACAAATAGCACAGACTCATTAAGTTATTAATATCTTACGGAGGCACAGTCTCCCTGTTTACATCTCTGAACAGATTTATGAATATGCAACCATAAATCACCCTGGAACCGGGTGCGCTCGGAAATGGAGAGGTCACACACCCTGGCCGCCCCCCACCCTCCGGGAAGGTTCCGGCAGGTTCACGTTCTCCACCCGTTTCCTGCACAAGCTGTGGATTCCCTCACACTGCTTTTTTGATGTGACAATTCAGGGGGTGGCCCTGGTCTCTGGTTTTTTAGGATGGTGGGGCCACATCTATTCAGACACATTCAGCTGTTCTACCAACCAGCTCATTTGCTGGGCAGACCTGTGCACTTGAATCCTCTGCCAAAAAATGTCAAACGCCTGATTCTCAGAGCTCTCGAAAGGTTATGCATGCAAGGGGATGGGAGGGCCTGAGCAAGAGGGAGGAGGGCAGGGCGCCCAGCAGGGAAGGCGGGGAGGTGGGCGCCTGGGGATTCATTGAGAAGTGGAAAATGCCAGCTAGTGCCAGGTATGGAAAGGTTTTCTGACGTAAGTATTATTGCAGAGTGAGTGTTTAATCCATCTAAACAGCACATTTCCCTGAAACTCTTGAATGGCGCATTTGCCCACAGGCAGGGGGATCATAGCCCGTGCCTGCCTGACAAGCCACCCTTTGAGCTTCCCAATGTCCTGAGATGGGGAGGCCTTGGAACCAGCAGCCTGGCCCAGGTGTTTCCGGTGAGAGGGTCTCTGAGGCTTAACGCGGCTCCTTTCCACAGGTGTTTGTTAGAACCACAAGAGGTGGTGACCCCATTCTCGCTCAGAGACTGCTCCCCAACCTGGCGTGGGTCAGAGAATGACATCAACCATCCTTTGCTCTGGGGTCCATCTGCGAGGAGTCTCCCATTCAGCACTGCTAGCGGACGGCATCCACATGGCACCCACATGGCATCCACACGGCACCCACACGGTGTCCACACGGCATCCACATGGCACCCACATGGCATCCACATGGCGTCCACACAGCACCCACATGGCGTCTACACGGTGTCCACACGGCATCACACGGCACCCACACGGCACCCACACGGCACCCACATGGAGTCCACACAGCGTCCACATGGCGTCCACACATCACACGGCATCCACATGGCATCCACATGGCATCTACACGGTGTTCACACGGCATCCACATGGCGTCCACACAGCATCCACACGGCATCACACAGCATCCACACAGCATCCACACGGCATCATACAGCATCCACACGGCATCCACACGGCATCACACAGCATCCACACGGCATCCACAGGGCGTCCACACAGCATCCACACGGCATCACACGGCATCACACATGGCATCACACGGCATCCACACGGCATCACACAGCATCCACACGGCATCACACGGCGTCCACATGGCATCACACGGCATCACACAGCATCCACACGGCATCACACAGCATCACACAGCATCCACACGGCATCACACGGCATCCACACGGCGTTGGTGTCTGAGCCTTTCCACACGTTCCAAAGCCGACTGTGCTGGACTGGCCCTAACAGGAAAGTCCGTCCGGCTCAGTGAGGCCTCAGTTTTCCTCGGGGATCTCCTGGGGGCAGGCCCAGCCTGGAAGGGCAGTGGAAGCCCTCCAGGAGGGGGACTGGGACGGCTCCCCAGACGGTTTTCCCCAGGCTGACACTTCAAGGTCTATGCCTCAGAAAGGCGTCTCTCTGCCCACTAGCTCTCAGGTGGCTTATACCGGCTTCTCCTGTTCTCTGCCTGTTCCCCGGAGATGTGTCCATCGACTCCTCAAAGTCACACAGCCCACAAGCCCCGGGGGTGAGGGCTCAGACCCCAGCGGAGGCTCCTCTGCACCCGACGGCTTTCAGACTCTGCTCCTTCGGGTTGCAAGGGCTTTTCCACCTCCTGCTCTCTCGTCCTCCATCCTTCCCTCTCTCCAGCCCTCCCTCCTCCCTCGTCTGCAGCTCCTCCTCTTGCTCCCCCAGAACTTGCATGCTCACCTTAAAGAACCAGATGCTGCCGGGGGGCGGTGGCTCACGCCTGTAATCCCAGCACTTTGGGAGGCCGAGGCGGGTGGATCACGAGGTCAAGAGATCGAGACCATCCTGCTCAACATGGTGAAACCCCATCTCTACGAAAAATACAAAAAATTAGCTGGGCATGGTGGTGCGTGCCTGTAATCCCAGCTACTCGGGAGGCTGAGGCAGGAGAATTGCTTGAACCCAGGAGGCGGAGGTTGCAGTGAGCCGAGATCGTGCCATTGCACTCCAGCCTGGGTAACAAGAGCGAAACTCCGTCTCAAAAAAAACAGAACCAGATGCAATCCTTCTGTTTTCATTCAAAACTGAATCCAGTGTGAAGGTCGCCCCCTCCTTTTAATTTCCCTAAGCAAATTACCATCCAAACAATCATTCCCATCGTCCAGAATCTCTGCTGTGAGGTGTCTATTAGTGCTGACGGAGGATTTCTCATGCAAACGGCCCATTTTTGTAGCCTGTGTGGGGTCTCTGGGAAATCTCTGGCTTTGCATTCGCAACCTTCCGAAATGTCAAGGGCTCCAGCATCACAGTGTAGACACCCGAGGTCTGCGGCTGGTCGGCTGTGTGGACACGTCCTGAGAGCATGGAAATTATCCACGCTTCATTCCTCTTTCCTTGCGCTCATGAAGAGAACATTCTTCAGAGATTAAAAAACAAAACCATGCAGGGAGTGAGATGTTTTTCGCCTCTGACATGCAGGCGTGGAATGTAAAGCATCAGGATCTCCCAGGAAGCGGCTGGGGGCTCGATTCCACCCCACGCCTCGTGTCACCGAGGGGAGCTCATCTATCACACTGCTTACTCACAGCAGCAATTTAATTACGCAAACCTGATCTAAGGCCTTAATTAAATTTTAAAAAATGCGGCCTGTTCTCTCTGGGAACAATGGAGGCAGCTTTTCCACCCTGCTTCCTTCGGGGATCAGCTCTTGCGTGGCTCGGGGTTTCTAGGGAGGCGTTTGAAATGCGGATGGCGGCCACAGATGTCCCTCCCAGGCCCTTCTGCACATTCTCCTCATCCGGAATCTCCGTGCCCCAGATTCGTGCCCGGAACCACACACCTTTCGACAGGCACCTGCGAAGCAGAGGTAGGAACCCAGTAGCCTTTGATGTTGTCAATTTCTCGTGCTAGAACAAACAGCTCAAATCTCTGTCAACAGCCATTACGCGGAATCATTGTGTTTCCTTTTCCATAAATCCAGCTCATTACCCCCCATGACGGATTTGGGCCACGCCTCGTATTTCTCTTTCTCCGGCTCCACCCATGCGGCCTTCTGGGGAATGTGCTGAGGGGGCCAGGTGGCTGACTCCTCTCTCGCCTCCTGGGCAGCTCCTTCCAAAACCCAGCTTCTCTCTGGGAGGGGGCAGGGGTGAGAAGGAAGGGGCCCTGGCAGGCCGGAGGAAACACAGGTGGGAGGAGCAGGGGGACAGGGATCATGGGACCCGGCAGGCCCGGCTGCCCCCGCCTCTATCTGCACAGCGCAGGTCAACAAGCCGCACACTATGGTCCAGGCCGCTGACCCGCTTCACCCCACAGGGAGGCCTGGCTGAGGCCACGAGTGCCTTCCTGGAGCCTCCTCCCTTCATGCAGCTGGAAAGCCTGCCTGGGATTCAGCACCCAACGGGGCACCAGCATTCCACACCTGGAGTTCCCAGGCAGTGCCACCGCACATGCTGGTCCCCTGGAGGTGGTGAGGGGCATGCCGACCTGTGTGAGCGGAGTGAGGCCTGCTCGGCCCTGTGTTCCCAAGGCTCGCTGGGTCCAAGGTGCCGGGAGCCCTCGCCCCAGGACACAATGGCTGCGATCCCACTTCCTCCAGCCTGAGATGGGCGTGTGGGTCCCTGTCCCATGTTTAACAAGACCAACACCTCTCCCCCTCCCTGAGCCTCCAGTGGTGCCAGATGGACTAGAAACCGACTCTCTCCAGACCAGAAGGGGCATCTTCATGTGGGCTTTTGGGGACTTAGCATTCTCTGCATTTCTAGAAGGTTCCTGGGTCATGCTGATGGCTGGTCCTAGGACCCTCTCTGAGAGCCACTGGCTTAGAAGGTGACACCCCATAATCCCGGCTCTTCCCATGACTCTC